GAGCCTACTTAAACTACTTCTTAGCAATCTACTAGTTGCTTTTCTATACGTAATGAGTGTTGTAAGGCTTTATGCACTTAGGATTATGCCAGAAAGTTATATTTCGAAGTTTGATTTATGTAACTGTTGTGAAAGCTACCCGTGGTCGGTGCCGTTGCTTGAATCGAAAAACCCGAGCTGGTGATATTATGACCAAAACGTCTTTATTGTCGTTGTAAACTTTTTGTTAATTTGCATTGTTATACATTGTTGTACTTTTGATATAACAGAACATACTTACGAACTACTTAACTTTGAAAATATGATAGACTGATGTGATGACATTCACATTTATTAAAAAAAATGTTCGAAAATTTCAGGGCCCACATATTAAAGAATTTCTATATGGATTTGGCTAGGATTAGCGGAATGACAGCAGATAAACCAGAATACTTGTCTGAACTTCTGCCAAACGATAATTCCTCCACTTACATTCCATTGATGGAGCGTCCTGTCGGAAGTAGCGTTTTTCCACACGTTGCTGCAAGATCATCTTTGCATTTTGTTTTTAGTGTCGCTGGCAGAGAAACGTTTGAAAGCAGAGTGTAAATTGAAACGACAACGAAGAAACTCCTCCTAACAACTCTTTCTCTGCAAATTTCTGCTTATGCATGGCTGGCTGGCCGTCTTATGTTGATAAACGAATTTTTGCACTGATGTGCTATTGAAGTAAACGGTATCTTGTATCATTCGAACACAGTACGGCGTAATCATGTTTCGTGGCTGGCGGACCTGTGCCGGACGTTTCTACCTTTTTGCTACCGGATGTCTCCTCCTGTGCACGGTTCCGTTTCAAGCCCAGATAAGGAATAAAGAGTTTAAAAAAAAATAAATCTGCATCAAGCGTAATGATGCATATTCAGTGTTTTTGTAGCATTGACTTTCGCACTATGCATGAAAGCCCAAGAAATTGATGCATTTTTTAGAAATAAGCTAATTTTGTTCCCCTTTTACTCAAATGTACACAAAGCTACTACGACGCAAATCTATATGAATCTTATGCAAACGAAACTTTCGTTTCGGGTAGGTCTCGCGACTAATGTAGTTATAACTCGGATTTTGCGCTCTCTCCAATCATGTGATAACGTACTTTGATCGTGTCCATTTTATATAGAGTTGAATAATGGAAAATGGGCAGTGAGCACTCCAAGGTACGAGTAATTAGAATTTGTCAACAAATCATGAAAACACAAAATTTTCTGATGTCGATGATATTCGTTATCATGTTAATACGGTTAGACAGGAAGTGTTGGCAATAAATGTTTTATTGAAGAGTCAGCAATGTCTCGTTTTCCCGTCATAATCGTTGCATTCCTGTTGTTGACCATGCTTCCCTTAACTGAAATTTAGCCTTTGCGCTATATTATAGTCACCTCATTTCCTTGTTTAATTTTCCCTTGCCTTTCTGCAAATAACCTGTCATTTTAAAAGCTTCACAACAATGCATTAGGCTTCGGTCTACAATCGTAAAGCTTTGATCACTACTGCAGCCATTTCAGAACTCAAACCATTTTGCTCTACACCATACTTCTGCCACTTTGTTGAATGTTAGTGTTATCTAACTGTCTGATGTAAAGTAGGTGCTATCTGATTCTGTTCAAGCAGTAAAATTTCTTATTCGGCATGGTTTCTTTAATTTACATATTTTGAGTACAAAAATCGACATAGCTGCTGCTTTCTTTGTCGTCCAAGGTTAAAGAAAGATTGGGAAGAACAAATGTTTGACTAGATTCAAAGAGTGGCTCAGATATGGCGAAGTGTATTTAGTCTTAGTCACATAATGTTCTACTGTGCCTGCATATTTTCTATTGTCTATAACATATCTGTGACCATCGGACTCTCATATGAGAAAGTTTCGAAACTAAACTCCAACCTCTTGTTGGATCAGTCATTGGTCGCTGAGCTCATTCAGTAGTGTTCGCGAACCACTGACTTGCATTCTAGAGTAGTGTATTTACCGCGGAGTTCAAAGGTACCGCCAAATGCTATGCAAATGCTGGAAGAAATTACGACGGCAACACATTACTCATTCGGTGAAGCTTTAAGGAAATCGCGAAAAGCCGAGTCGACCTATATGTGTCTGTAAAAGCTGAATCAGACAGCAATTAGCGTCTAGAAGATTACGGATACACTGGAACTGTGCTTATATATACCGCTGTGGACATAAATAAAGGTTTGATGAGCATCTGTTTAGCCAATGCTCTAGATTACAAAAGAGGGATGCCCTAGCAATCCGAATGTACAGGCCATACTAAATACAAACACCGATAGAAGTTTTTTGAGCCAAAGTCTATGCTAATCCCTGAAGAATATAAATATCCTCTCCGAAGGACGATTGTGAAAGATCGACAAAGAAAAATTAATATCAGGATAACAGATGAATGATGAAAAGCAAACATCTTCTGCGAAGCCTTGATGGTCAAAACCAAGAAAATCCGGCGCAATAATGTTGCGCACATTTTTACATCGCATCGTTTGAACAAAGTATAAC